ATAAGAACAGGAACAAGATCATTTATCTCTTTTTTTTGGATGTCGAAGTAGGATGATGAGATCCTAAATGTACAACTGACGTTTTTGCATTTGTATGTAAATGAAGTGTCTCTAACTCCGAGCATATCCTAGAAGTTAGCTCAATATGAAGAGACGCCACCAATTGTAGATCTAACAATCTGTGTAACTTAGCAAATGTATTCCTAGTCAAGTTTCTCGCTGTCTCTCACTAAAGTCTGGGGGGAAAACACAAGTTTAAGGATAATTAGAAGGTTATATGATTAAACAGACACCGATACGGCGATATCCAATAAAGACATATAAGTACCTGAAAAAATCACAAATTTAAAAATGCAAACCAAAAGTTTTTGCCTTTTCTTTTATACTTTGGATGTTGTCTCTTTTGCTTAATGAAGTTTTTGAAAAGGAAAAAAAAAAAAAGAACAGAAATTGCCACTTTGATCCTAATCAAAGAATGTAAAAGAGAACAGATAGGGGACGGGGGCATGGGTATAGCTTCAGTGGCTCTGAGGCTTGTTTTATTCTTTCAAACCTATTTATCTGCCAAAGTTTAGGATTGCTCTAACCTATTTATCTGCCAAAAAATGAGGATTTGCTCTAACCTATTTATCTGCCAAAGTTTAAGGCTTTTTTAAAAATTGGTTTTATACTTTTTCTTAAATTTTATTAACCGAGCTGAAGTGGTAGAAGCTGTCCCCTTATATCACTGTGATAAAAAAAAAAACTAAATTAAAGTAATATATATTAAAGGTTTACTAAGCATCAATGCAGAAATGTAAGATTAATGGAGAATTGAAGTGATTGAACATAAAAGTTGTGTCCTCATGCTAGTTGATTAAAGTCTAATAAAGGTTGGAATCTTTTTGCGGTTCTTAGAATATAAGAACAGGAACAAGATCATTTATCTCTTTTTTTTGGATGTCGAAGTAGGATGATGAGATCCTAAATGTACAACTGACGTTTTTGCATTTGTATGTAAATGAAGTGTCTCTAACTCCGAGCATATCCTAGAAGTTAGCTCAATATGAAGAGACGCCACCAATTGTAGATCTAACAATCTGTGTAACTTAGCAAATGTATTCCTAGTCAAGTTTCTCGCTGTCTCTCACTAAAGTCTGGGGGGAAAACACAAGTTTAAGGATAATTAGAAGGTTATATGATTAAACAGACACCGATACGGCGATATCCAATAAAGACATATAAGTACCTGAAAAAATCACAAATTTAAAAATGCAAACCAAAAGTTTTTGCCTTTTCTTTTATACTTTGGATGTTGTCTCTTTTGCTTAATGAAGTTTTTGAAAAGGAAAAAAAAAAAAAGAACAGAAATTGCCACTTTGATCCTAATCAAAGAATGTAAAAGAGAACAGATAGGGGACGGGGGCATGGGTATAGCTTCAGTGGCTCTGAGGCTTGTTTAATTCTTTCAAATGCTCTTTTCTCTTGCTTTATTGGAGATGGACATAGGGGCTACTTCTTGGAGCATGGAAGGGTAGCTCTGAAGTAAAACGTATCTAGTGGAGGATCATCCTGTAAATAGCAAAGGCATATGTAGAAACTCTGGAGTGCAAGTTCTCTTTTCCAGAGTAAACGCTATCTTTTTTGGATGTATTTATTGGCATAAATTTGTGTTTCAATCCTTTATGGAGTAATACTTCCTAGTTCATGGCCTAATGAAGCAACTGGTGTGGAGTAAAGAGAGTGTATCTTAGGGAACAGAGGACTGTGGTCATCAATAACAATTCTGGCCAAAAGGGTATATATCTTCCCATTGCCCCACATGAAAGAAAGATGTGTTGGATGTATAATGTCGTGGGATAAACGTTTAGTTTGCTTAATTGTTTTTTTTGGGTTGTTTCCGATATTTTTAAATTGCTCAAACTATTTATCACCTGCATCATATGATCTGAAAATCCTAATTTTGAAACTGTGCTGAAAATCTGTATTGCAGCCATTCTCTTGTATGAGGTGGGCAAGATAATGACAGACATGCCACGTTATCTCAGAGAATGCTTGCACACAGGGAAGCTAGCTTGTTTGGCAATGTTAGTATCTGGAGGCATTGTATTGCAAATACTGGTCTGCCCCATTGTCCTTTGATATCCTATGGTTTATAGGATCTCTTTTCTCTCTTGTTGTAGTCATTGTCCTGATCTGGCTTTCCTTGTATTGTGTTGCAGGCATGTGCTTTGTACAATAACTGGTGGCCAATGTTGACAGGTGTTTTGAAATCATATATCTCGGATTAAACTAGATCATCCATTGCTCTTACTCCCAGTCATCCGCTTGTGCAAATTTAAACTAGATCATCCATTTACTCTTACTCCCTGTCATCCCCTTGTGCAAATTTAGAAACTCTGCTTTTAGGATGGGCAAATAAAAATGATTCAACTGTCTCTGAAGGAAGTCTCCTGTCTGTTAAGTTGGGGTGTGTAGGTTAGATATTACATAATTTTTTGCTTAGCTTTGAGATCTTGAACATTAGAAAGACATAACATGTGAAATCTGTTGTTTTTAAATATCTGAGACTTAAAAATGTTCTGTAAACTATCATGGATCCTGACTATTGTTGGTTTTTGTGCTGTAGTTATAATGTATGTCATTCTACCAATGCCTTTGATGTTCTTTGCTGGTTCAGATACTTCCAGTCTGTACTCTGAATCTGGAAGCGGGTGAGGCTTGTTCTTTTATGCACATCATGCGATAATTAGTAAATCTTAAATAAAAGCACTTCTTCTCAAGGACCAGACCTCATATTTGCTTTTAAATGACTCTATTAACAGTTGGCTAAATGCAACTAAGTTCTTGACTGGAGCGTCCACCGTTGGCAGCATTGCAATTCCGATTATCTTAAAGCATGCTGGTGTAATCGGTTGGGGAGCCATGGCGTTGGAGCTCTCATCCTTTTTCGTGTTTATACTGTCCATCTTGTGTTATCTTGGGATGAATGAAGAGGACGGATATAGCATGCTTTGAAATTGGTCTAATGCTTCCTGCTGTATTTGCGTGCAACAGAATATGGAACCTCAACTTCCCATTCTTGTCAACATGGTCATTGTCTGAGTCTCTTGTTATGTTTTGTAGATAGAAATATTGTTGTCTGTATATTATTGGTTGTGATAAGTCAACAAATACCGCGCGAGCTTCAATTGATGTTTTATACTTCTTGCAGGATAAATTCTTTATTTGATTGAAATTTCGGTTGTGTAATCGGAAATTGAAGTGGAAGAAAGAAAAAAGTGTTCCATTTGTGAGAAGAATGAATTTCTATTCATGACTGAAGAAACTCATTGATGTTTTAATCCAATGAAAATAGTTGATAAATCATCATAATCATTCTTGGATCAAATGGCCCTTAAGATGCAACCTTTTTGTTATTGAATCGTTTGGAGGTTGCTAATTTTAGTGGAGAATGCAGAGAAATTAGTGAACAAATAATTGCAGCAAGAAACTGAGGTTTCAAATCAATATCAGTATTTGGAGACTTGAACCTTATGAAAC